AAAGCTGAATGGTCCTAACAATGACAAACATTGACCCGTTTTGATTTGATGATTGTTCTTTTTTAATACGACTCTGAGACCTGTAAATTGTTCCACCTTTCTTATTTTATACCCATGACCCTTGTTTTTTCTTGTTCTATATTATAAACCATAGACAATAACATCCAATGTGTCAAAGTTGGTTATGAACAAGTCCAAAATTGATGTATGAAATAATTCCTTGAATATGGATGCAGAAATAGTCATGAGATAATCATTCATGAGAGAAGTTTATGAGTTTGCACGTATAGATGCATCATGCAACAAAGATACTAAAAAGAAACAAGATGGTGGTGGGGGATGAAGCCATAGAGTGCTTTTTTTTTACCTTATGATGGGAAAAAAGGTTTTGAATCCAAAACTCGAAAAGATGTATTTGCATTTAGAGCTTATCATCAAGGTTGAATCTCGCAGAGAAAGGCATGCTGATATGTGTATGATGAAAATTATAATTTTTCAAAATAATGAGGATGATCGACGTATTGTGCAAGGAAGGGAAGTTGAAAAAGGCAAGGAACCATGGAGAGTTTAATTATTGTCACTTACAAGGGTTTTCCGTGAGAGGACGAAACGAAATTTATCAACCAGATTTGGAGACTTACGACCCAAACTCTGTCTCTGAGTTGGTGAGAGAGATGAAGGAGATGGGTTTTTGGTCCGGACTCTGTTTCCTACTTTCGTTTGACATGTGGTTTTGTAGTAACAAAGGGGATTTGGCGACAGCTTTTGCTTACAGGCATTAGATAGTGAAAGAAGGTTTTGTCATGATGATAATAACTTGATGAGTGGGCTATCTCGAGAAGAAAATTCTACTTGCAGTAGCAGCCGATTACTGATTTGATATGTCCGTTATGTCCGTATGATCCTGTTGACTATGAGTGATTGATAAAACAGAGTTTTGGATCGTAGAAGAAAAAGAAGCAGGTGAACTTGATTATGATGAATTAGAAAAGACTCTTGCTGAAGCATATCCTAAAGATAATGAAGAGACAAACCCAGAATACACTAATGGTAAACTTTATAATTTATCTTTTAGTTATATATAATATATTGACTAAACTATGTGATTTGTTTTCTTTTAGAATTTCAAATTGATGAAGATTTCACTATGCCACCTGAAGAACATGAAACAATGGCGATGGCTAAAGAGACAATCAAGATTGGTTGATGTGATTTTTAAGTTTTCAGTTTTTAAATAACTTTTACAGTTTACTACTTATTTTAGTTAAATTTAATATTTTATTATTGTTATTGAACAATTTATGTTATTTTTTATTTTTAAATTTATTTTTTTATTTTTAAAATTATATAATATATATATATATATTATATCAAAATTAATTAATTAATTGATCAACAGTTGATCCGGATCAACTCAGAAAAACTCAAAAACCAAATGATCTGATATACATTCTGATTTGTTTTCCGGGTCAGGTTTCAAAAAATTGCCAAAAACTATAAATTCTATTTTTCCACCAAAAATTGCAAAACTGTGTTTTCTTGAAAAATATATTCTTTTACACAATTCAGATATTTTGTATTCAGATTTTTTATAAGTTTAATAGTGTTACATCCAAATATTGTATCTAAACACAAATATTAATTTTATAATTTTGTATTCAGATTTTTTATAAGTTTAATAGTGTTACATCCAAATATTGTATCTAAACACAAATATTAATTTTATAAACGAATATCAAGATGTTGCATCTAAATACAAAACTGAATCGAACATGAACATGCCCTGTATGTAATGTTACGGCCACAAAGGCAAAGGTCTAGAAGGAGGCGTCTGATTTGATATGCTTCCAGTGCATGTGAAAAAATATATTACGACCACAGACCCAGGCAGAGGTCTAGAATAGGCCCATTATGAAATTGTCTTCAAACAAACGGAAATACAATTAAGCCTCGATCAGTACGGAAGTGATCGACAGAGGTGGAGTTTCGATTCATCCGCCAAAACTAATTGGGAGCAAAAGAGAACCATTGTTGCATTTACATTAGTTGATTACTATCACAACAACGAATCTAAGAATGTGATGTTAATGTTCATTGTTATTTTCTTTTTAAAAATCAGTGTTGATTACTCAACCACAATTACAGATTTTACACATCTGCCATACGTCCTCTCTTACAAACATATGGATCTCTATTGTGTCCTCTGCTAATTTTGCACATAATTCTTAGTTATCGTCATATAATAAAGATTATTTTCACACTTCGCTTTGGCGTTCGGGATCAGTTGGTTCACATGGTGATGGCTTCACTGGGTTTTGTTCAGTTTCATAAGATATAGCAAAGACTATAATGGATCAATAGAGTCTAACAAAAATGAGTTAAACTGCAGTCGGGAATAAAACAAAGATAATAGTTAAAAGCGAAAAAAATCTAAACTTCTGAAAACCGATTTGCGACTTTTCTGACAAAAACTCGAATATACAAGAGACGAAGAGGGAAAATAGAATCTGGACATCAGTTCTCCAAGGTGAAAAACACATCAATGTAATTTCAGTCGCAAATTACCCATTTGTTTTATGAGATTCATCATATGCCCAGATCCAACAGCAAAAACAAACACAAGAAAAATTCGAAAAATCATTGAAAGTAATTTTGAGTCGATCAGAACCTGTCGAGATATCACAATAACATCACTCAATGTTGTCAGTGGATTGACAGACTGTGAAATTTTTATCGTCACTTCGACCCAAAATCCCTAATTTCAGATTTCAAAATTTAATTATAAAGTGAACAAAAAAAAAATGTGTAGAAGCTCAGAACTTCTTAGAGGGTTGTGTTTACCGTCAGCGATGAAGTTCATCTCTGGACACGGTTTTTTTCATCATAGCAACTACACCGAATTTCGAAGAAAACGAATTGAATCAAGCAAAACCAAAAAAAAAAAAAAATAGTTTTTACAGAAAAATTAGACACCGACACCAAAAAGACCAAAGAGAGACGATGAAAGACTTATCTCTTTCTGGTTTCGGTGTAAAGACAATATATATGCGAAGACAGCACTTAAGAAAGCCCTAATTTATGCTGCCTCATAGGTTTTTTTTTCAATAATTTATTATTATTCATTACCTTTTTAAAAAGACTAGGTATTTATCCGCGCTATATTCGAAAATATTTTTCTAAATTTTGTATATATTTTTAATATAATAAAATTATTTCTATAATATAAATGAGTATTATATTTATTTTTATTAGCTTAAGTTATATATTTATATGTTTTAAATCTGAATAAACATTATATATATATATATATTTTTTAAATTATAATTTGCTATTAAATTTAGTTAACTAACTAATTATAAATGTTATATAGGAATAAAATATATAAGAATAAAGCAATACATTTTTAGTATTTTCATGTTAATGGCAAATGTAATCTAATTTCTATAATAAATTGTCACTTGATCCTTCTTTATAATTATATAAAGCAAAATGCTATCTAAAAAAGAGATTTATTAATTAATATGATTATTTTGTATTATAAAATTTATTTTTTATCAAATATTTTATTATAAACATATGTTTCTAAAACTACCAAACTATAATTAATAACATTCGTATCAAAACCATTGATATTGTTTTAGATTTAAATAGAAAATTATGTTTGAACTCTTAAAATATCGTTTTAGTTAAAGTTAAATAATTAAATTTTGGTTACTGTAAACATACTTTAACATGAAATTTAGCACATCAAAATTTTATCTTCTTACAAAAATCGAAAAACCGCATTTCCCATCAGAACAAAAAACTTTATTTTTCCATTAAACTGAGAAATTGCATATTCCCGCCAAAACCAAAAAGTTCATTTTCTCGTCAAACCTAAAACCTAAAATTTCATTTTTCTGCAAAAACCTGTGTTTTTTCACCAAAGCCGAGAAATTACTTTTTCACAAAAACCAAAAAAATTTATCTTCCTGCAATAATGAAAAAAAAAGTTGTATTTTCCCGCCATAATCGAAAAATTTATTTTTCCTGCGAAAACTGAAAAATCGTCTTAATCACGCTTTCCTATAAAAATAATTGTTATGTTTTTATCGGTTCAAATTTTTGTTGATGTGTGAGCTTCTTATAACATAAAGCTTTTTGCGTTGTTGTCATGGAAGCATAGTTGATGCTGAACCTACACTTTTTCAATCATATACGTTTATGTCAAACAAACAGATAGCTAGAATTTTTTTATTATTTATTTGTTGTTATTTATTGTTTAGATTTGGTTTTAGCAAAAAAAAAGAAAACAATGATTTAATTTTTTATTTATTTTTATTTATTTTTGGGTTTGGATTTGGCAAAAAATAAAATAATAAATTTTTTTATTTGCTGTTATTAATTATTTGGGTTTGGGTTTGATAAAAAAAATTTAAAAATTAATTAAAAAAATAATTGGACTTTTAATGGTTTAAGTTTAAAAAATAAAATAAATAGATGAGATGTATTAATGAAATATTTTGATTGGTGATTATTTTTACTGAAATATCATATTTATAAAGCTTCAAAAAGCTGATGTGTCAAATCAGGAAAAGACTTGAATGTTATTGTTGTGTTGATTTATTTCCTTTTTTCATTATATTATTTCCAAGTTTTGTGTTCAAATATAAAATTGTGTATCAACTGTGGATGTTATCAAATCTTGAGAATTTATCAACAATTCATACGAAACATTGTTTTTAGAAATATAATTATTTTATTGATATTGATTTTTAAAAAGTTATGGATAACTCTAGACCAAAAAAAAGGTACAAGTCAGATAAGTGATATTAATTTTACCAAAAAAATTATATATAATTATTTCACAAAATCCAAAGTATTGATATTGATTTTTTTTAAATTATTGATAACTCTAAAACTCAGACAAGAGACAAAGTTTTGGGTGAGAAAGAGAAGCAAAACATGGTTAGGACATAAACCTGTGAATAAAGTAGAAAGAAAAAAACGTAAACCGATCCCTAAATCGAACCTTTAAACCAAAAAGAAAAGAAACATCAAAGGAAAATGCTACTAACGGAGCTATCATCATGGACACGCCAAATGGTCTCACCAAGAAGATTAGCCACCGATAAAATCGTCAACTGCGGGAAGTAATTCTTCTCCGCCACCGGTAAAGTATTCGTCACTATCACTTCTTGCAGCAAACCGCTCGATAACCGCTCTATCGCAGGCGGACTGTCACATTGTTCCAAGAAAAAGATCATCTCTCATAATAAGTTTGACATAAGACAATGTTTTCATGTTTCATACTATAAGATAAAAACGCAAGAAATGGGTTTTACCTGAAAACCGCGTGTGTGCAGCAAGCATAAACCTCGCGCGCACCCTCCTCATGCAGAAGAGCTGCTCCTTTCACAATGGTTCCTGCAAATAAAAAACAAATTCTGGTTTTTTAGTAATGTTGTTTTGGTCTGCAAATCACGGAACCATCTCAGTAACAAACATGATCGACCGGTTTTGACTAACCAGCGGTATCAATCATGTCATCCACCATTACTGCCACTTTCCCTTTAACATCACCGATTAGGTTCATGACCTGTAGGGAAAGAGCATTTTATCAACGCACGAGAACTTGACAGAAACTGAACCGTATTTCGAAAAGGGAGAAAAAAGGGTGAATTTTAAAAAGCTTACCTCAGCGACATTGTGGCCATGACGCCTTTTATCGACGATGGCGAGTGGCGCATCAGATAACTTCTTAGCAAATGCGCGTGCCCTCGCTACTCCACCGACATCAGGAGAAACCACCACTAAATCCTCTGAGGAAATTGACTTGCTAGCAAGATAATCAAGTATCACAGGCTGCAATGTATAACCACAGGACTTGTGTAAGATTTTGGAGACCATACGAAAAGCTCTCAAGAACGTTGAAATTTTAAGGTACCTGACAATAGACATGATCCACGGGAATGTCAAAATATCCCATGGACTGTCCTGAATGAAGATCACAAGCAAGAACCCGATCTGCACCAGCTTCGGTTATGAGGTTCGCAACCAGTTTAGCAGCGATGGATTCACGCCCTTGTGTCTACAACAACAGATACATAAAAGATTCGAAAATTGCTTGAAACCTGATAAAAAGAGTAATGAGAGACCATACCTTTCGATCAGCTCTTGCGTATCCAAAATACGGAATCACGGCGGTTACTTTCTTAGCTGATGCTCTTCGGCAAGCATCGACCATGATCAACAGCTCCATGAGATTCTCATTCGTCGGAGTGCAAGTAGGCTGCACCAGAAACACGTCGCAGCCCCTAACACTCTCTTTCAGCTGAACGTAGATCTCTCCATCAGCGAATCTCTTTATGCTAACCTTCCCTAGCTCCAAACCCATATACCAAGCGATTTCCTTCCAACAAAAGTTTTCACTTTTTGATCATCGAACTTTTCTCACCAGACGGAAAAAACTTTGTTTAAGAGGCCGAGAAAGCTACCTGAGAAAGCGCTGGATTCGCGGTACCAGAGAACAGCTTCAGCTTCGTATTGGTTCGATTGACCGATTTCTCTAACCGGGAAGAATCAAACAGCTTTGGAAGTGTCGACTCGTTGATAATCGGAGCACGAGCGTTCCCGTTTCCAATATTCAGTGCCTTTGGTAAATAATTGCATTTCTGGCAAAAAAAACAAAAGGCAAACGATTTGTGATACTAAATCCACAATGTTAAACCCAAAGATTCATATAGTTTCCAACTTCCATCGTCACTTTCATCTATACAAATTCTCACGAAAGAAACGATTAGGTAGCGCATAAAACGCACTGCTAATAGCGTCTACTCAATCCAGAAAGTCTCACAGATCAAAGAATTATTAATTTTAACCACAAACTTGTGAATTCTCAATATCAAAAACATCCAAAACAAAGATAAGAAACGTAATGTAAATATCGAATTCATATATTAACCAGGGAGAGAAATGCTCACCGCGAAACCGGAAACGCAAATTGGGGAGCGAGACTCAGTGGTCCTGAAGGAAATCGAGGAGCGGGAGAAGAGAGACGAAGACGACGAGGCGAGGTACGACGGAATCTTAACGCCGGGAGGAGAAGTCAGAGCTAGCGACGCCATGTGTAAATTTACGTCTACAACACCTAAATTTATAAATGCGTCTGGGAATCTCTAAGTCACTCAGTATCAGATTCTCGCCGTAGAGAATTCCCGAGAGAGACGAGAACTGATTCTAAGGGAATTAGGGTTTCAGGATTGGAGTGTCGAACGAAGAAGAAGAAGGTAATAATGGCGGATTCGTTCTTCTCCGGGAATCCAAATTCGAATGAGGACTCTTCTCTCTTTTTATCAAATCTCAGGCGGTGCGGCGAAAGTTTTTTCTCACTTCCTCGACATTACAAAACCAAATAAATAAATAAATATTGGAAAGTTGAATGTTCCCCAACGGTGCCGTTTTGTTGGAGGCCTACTGATCTCTGCGGGTGGCTCTCGGCTTACGTGTCAGGTGGGGACTTAACATTAAAGGAGTCAAAAAAAGACAATTATTTTGCATTTTTAGATTTACTTTATATACTCGAGAACATTATATGGCAATAATTTAATCCAATCGAATAATTTGAAAAAAATTGTATTTACTTTTTTGTTATTATAAATACTATAAAACATTGACATCTTCATATGATATATATGAGTATATCTACTACAAATATAGTGTTACTAAAATTTGATATAGTCAAATAATATACAAATCATAAATTTGATACGACTAAAAGATTCTATTATATCGCTGTAAAAAAAAAGATTCTATTCTATCTTGCAATTTGAAAAATTTATTTATTGGTTTTTCTAAACATGCTATAAAACATCTTACGTCTACTACACAGAGAGTCGTATGAAAGAATGTTATTGATTTAATTACATCAAATGATTACATGATTAAGATAAAAATATTTAAAATAAACCACCTTTAGAAAAGAAAGATATACAATATAGTTAAGTGTACAGGACTTTGTCTACTTGTGAGAAAGTCCAAACGCAAACTCTAAGGGCATGAGCATTGCAGAGACACATGAGGAAGCTTTTAAAACATTTTTTATTATTAAAAAAACAATTAATTTTGTTAAAAAAAAAAGAAAAAAACAAAACAAAGTTTAACAAATCATATGTTGACACGTCAGCGAGAGCTGTTCTTCCACCCCTCCGCAGAGAGTCGCTCCTATTCTTAAATCTCTCCACATCATTAATTTTTTTTCTTTTTCTTTTTGCTTTAGAACCTTACGTTACAGATGCTCTAAATAATCTGATGCTTGTCTGATTCTTCTTAATGCCACTTGTTTCTAAGTAATTTTTCATGCCACTTTAGGATTCACCTAAAGCCATCACTAATAATTATGAACAGAAAATTCATAGAAAGAAAAAACTTAAAAAGAGATGGAGAAAAAAAGGAGACCATTCGTATTTTGGGTTCCTTTAGGCCGCTATACAAGTAGATTGAGTCACGTTCTTTCATATTGGCCATTGAAAACATGGAAAGTTACAGATTCTAAAAGAACCAAGTCAAATCATTCAAAAGTGTGAAGATGTGATTCTTGTTCTAATTCAAAAAAGTTTCAACTTGCAAAAGACTTCTTCTAAAACACTACGAAACATCACAGAGATTGCCGAAGAGGCATGTTTTGAGACACGTCAAGAACGCCAAAATCGAGAATATTTGCAGTCATAAGAGTAAAATTTGGGACCAGAAAGATGAGAGAATTTAGATTGGAGAGACTCATGAAGAAGTTTAAGTGATTTGAACATATGTACTTATCTTGGAATGATCAACTACTTGTCTTTTGTCTGAAATGTTCAACCGGAATCTGGAGATTGGTTGTCCTATTAAGGAAACCGAAGAAAAACACAGAACAGATATGATCATCTCAATCGCTTGCTAGAAAAAAAAAAAAGTAACTTGCAAATAAGAATATTGAGTTTATACCACAGGGGATATATTAGACTCTCGAAGAGCACGAAGCTGAGTGCTTTCCATGTTTTCAAGTAACTGGGTTACTGTGTTTAGATGAACGCCGCTGTATAGAGAAATGAAACTTGAGTTAGAAGAACACAACAGCTACAAACATAAAAAAATATATATCGATATTCTTCCATCATTAAAGGAAGCAATCTCTAATCACATTTCTCAATCATTGGCTTTGAAGCTATCTATTAGAATGCAAATCAATAAAGAGAGCAAAATATACATGATCTCTTGACTAAAACTGGATGCTGCTCACAACTGAGAAATGTCAAAGGAGATTAAAAAACCTGTTCAATCCGCTTTCTATATGAGCATCCAGAGATGAAATCACTTGAGGAAGCTGCGCCAAGGCCTTCAAAGAAAAATGGGAAAATACATAAGAAAACCATTCATTATTTATGTTATATACATGCTACACCAAGATTTACACATACTTGTCCAGTTGCCTTAGTCAAGGAAGCTTTCGCCAAAAGATTCTTCGGGAGCTTTGCTAATTGAGCCTGCATATATAGCCATTCATTAGATCTGTGACACAGTATGACCAAAAAGAGGAAGGCAGGTGAAAGTGACGGAAATACAAAGCTTATCCTAATAAAACTTCTTAGATGCTTCTCTATAAACCTTACACAGTGTTTCATTGTAGCATATTAGCATGACACAAAAGGAGATAACTAGTTTCCAATGATACATAAGGCATCTTCTGCTTAGAACAACAACGAAACTGTTGCCGAAATAGTTAACAAAGTCTGTGTTTTTAGTTTGTATTCATATAATCCTACACAAATACATTCCAACTTCACTAGCGAAAGTAAATTCAACCACTAGGAGATCAAATTTCACATGGAGAATGCAGATTGGATTCGAAAGTTCCAGAATTTCGGCATTTCTAAACCAAAATTGTTGCGAACAAGAACGTAAAATTCATCTCTCCTACAAGCCCAATCACTAGAAATTTCTATCCAACAATTATAATTATCGAATCAAAATCATGATTCATCCGAAATCGGATTCACTCACAAATCGCACTGAGTGTGCGTACCTGAGAAGAAGACGATTGACTCATCAGGTGGAGAAGGTTAGCAGTAGAATTAACGGCTTGTGAGATCTGATCGGCGACTATTGCTTTCGCCGTTCGATCACCTCCGCCGATTCCTCTTGCCTTTTCCGATGCCGTCGCCATATCTCTCTGTTCTCTTGCACGTCTCGTTTAATTCACGTCTCTTTTTAAAACAAATGGGAAAATATAGGTGTCCCCTTGTAAATAAAACAAATCTTTGTTGCTCTCCCCTCTACTTTCGATTAATATCATATGTTTCCCAGTATTATATTTCTATCAAATTGACACCCCATTTCAGACCGGAAATGGTTTGCGGTTCCATGAGGAAACAATCGCATCAATCAGTTACTTGTATTTAAAGTATAGTATGGCAAAAAAATGATAATTTGAGTACAGACATTATTACTACAACTCTTCAACATCTTCTATTTGTATAACCTATGGTATAAAACAAATTACAAAATTCTGCTGTTGGATCCAATGGATGATTTATATCAGCCAAGCCAATTTCACATTTTCAGGCTTTTATCCTACGGAGTAAGTTCCCCTAACGCAATACAGCTTTCTGTTTGGTAAAGTCCTCTTGTGATCTTCAAATTGACACTCTCCAGAAATCTCAATATGTATCTTAATCTCTTCTTTCTCTTCTTCTTCTTCTCGTTGCTCGTTTTCGGACTTAACTACAATAGAATGTCCAGTAGAATGTGACCTCCAAAACCGCAAATTCGATTCTCTCATACGTCTTTCGTAGCTTTCGATTTCGTCTGTCTGCTCTAAACTACCAATAGTAGTAGTAGTAGGATCTTCCTCGTGAACGATGATCGTCAATGTGTCGCGGGACAAAGGAGGCTCATCGTGGCTTTCGGATCTAACAAGATCGATTTCAGGAACAGCAAGCGGCTTTTCTTGCAAGGTCTGGTCTACATCAAGCTCACGCCGGCATACAGGGCAAGTCTTATGTGATTCAAACCAAAGATCGATGCAGATCGTGTGAAAGAAGTGGTTACAAGTTGCAATGAGCCTCATGGTGTCATTATCCGTAAAGTCTGTTAAGCAAATGGAACATTGATCCATGCCACGATCTTTAACAGAATAAGGAAACTCAGGGAAAGATTCAATGATCTTGGTGTCGAGACCGGCGTTTTCAGGTGGAATAGACGGTTGGATTAGGTCACTGGGACGGTTTCGGTTTCGATGGTTGTTCATAATGGTTAAGACTTTCTTGAAAAAGGATCCACAGAAGAAGAAGGAGAAGAAACCGGTCAAAATGATGAAGAGAAGACCACCGGTCAAAACTATGGTCACCGGTGTGGAAACGATGGTGTGGACTGGTTTAAAAGTGTTTGTTCCGGTCGCGGATATAGACATTTTGAAGACCGTGGAGTGAAAACGGTCGGATTGGAAATAGTGTGACTGGTTTCATAGATTGCTTGAGGAAGAAGAAAGGGTTTGTTCTGAGGCTGCGTGTGGGAAGGGTGATGTCAGTGGGGAAGAGAAAAGCGAGGAGAAATGTAAGGTCTGTGTTCGAAGCTTTTGAGCGAGTCTTTGGTGAGAAAAGCTAGGTTTTATTTACGGCCAATTGAGTAAAAAATCAAATTACAGTTATAAACAATTTAAATAAATTTGATATAATAAAAAAAAACTCAATCCAAGAAATATTTAATTGGTTTTTTTGTTTTTTTACATCAAAAACACCATTTTATAAAGTATTCGAAAAAGAGTTCTTTCGTCAAGAGAAAGCCATGACGGAGCCACCGAACTTACATGGAAGAAACAGAAATCTCGTGTTCTTCCACATTACGCAAGCTTATCAATATGAATATTTTTTGCTCGGGGAATATGAAAGATATTAAAGGATACAAACGATTCTCTTAAATATCTAAATTCTTCTAGTTCGGAAGCAAATGATGGCCACTCCTCCGGATTTTTAGTCATCGTGATCAGATCAGTGCAGTCCGTTGCAAAGCACATAGTAGTCATGGATTCTAAAATTAAGCACTTCATAGCCCACATAAGAGACTCGAGTTCCGCTTGTAGAGGAGGTAGACATCATCTTGATCATTTGAGGCCCATCTGTATTATCTTCTATGAGCACTATCCAACCGTGTCCACTTCGGGTATCTGTCTCCACCCAAGAACCGTCTGTCAAACACATCGGTCCTAGAGGCTCAGGATGTCTAGATGAGGCCATTGGGTCCATCTCTTCTATAGTTGCCGTATCTCGTAAGCTAGCGTCCATCCATTCTCTTCGACTCTTGGATAGCATGTGATATTGTTTCCTGCGGGTCTTCAACTTCATTTGCAAAGGTTTTCCTGTTCCTACATGTCCATATAAACCACATAATCCACGGAAAGGCTCGGATTGATTCATCATCCCCATCTAATTGCTTTGCTCTCCAAAGAGGAAGTCAAGATTGGTAAAATGCGCCTGTGAAGGATATTGGTCAGGCCCAAAAGTATTGATGAGAAAGCCCAAACCTGTATGGTCGGAGAGCATTCAAAAATCAAGTGATTGATAGTCTCCTCCTCCACTCCGCAGCGGGGGCATTCTTTCTCTCGGCCAATATGACGGTAGTGGAGGTTATAGCATGATGCCAAACATCCCGAAAAACATTGCCACACGAAATGTTTGAGTTTTCGTGTAGTTTTTAGTTTCCACACTTGCGCCTTAAGTACCGTGGTACATGGTTTCTGAAGAGGGAGGTCGTGAGTGTGATGAGATAAGACTCTCGCAGTCCAGTATCCAGACTTTACTGTATAGTTTCTTGTCTTAGTGAGGAGCCAACTATAGCCGTCTCTCAAACCTGATCGGTAAACTGTAACTCTCCATTGTTTCGTGAGGGGCCAACTATAACTCTCCATTGTTTCATGTTGAAATCTATTAGTGAGTTAATGTATAAGAGTGGATCCATCTCTTCTCCCAAGCTTTTGGGTGGGCGTGCAGGTTAGTCTGGGATCCAAGACTCTGACCAGACTAATCACAAACCTATTACCAATTGTTTTGCAGATTTCCAAGATAATGAGTGGTTTTGCAGCCAGAAATATTTAATTGGTTTAAATTTCTCTTTTGTTTGTTTATTTTACTAAAGCTTCATCCTCCATTCTCCATTCATATATTGGAGATAAAATATGATGAAGTTCTGAAGCATATGCACGAAAGTCTAGCCAAGCTTTAGGCCTCAACATAGCACCCACCATTTCAGATGCTTCAGAAGCAAAGATGACAACATTTAGTTAAATTGGGAGAGAAAAAAAACTGTTTCTTTTTTGTAAATAAGAGTACAATAATCAAAATTAATGGTTTGAAATAAATTTTATAAACAAGTCATATTCAGAATCTTATATATGATATAAAGAAGAAAGTTGCGTAACTCATCTGTATCTTAATTGATCTGAAAATCTACAAGACGATATTTTTTACTTTATAGAATTAATTATATTTGAAAACTGTAAACTCTAGCCGGTTGCCTACGGAAATGCTCCAGTTTACAAGTTCGAAACATGAGATCAGTGACATACGAGTCGGTACAGAGAATCCATTTTGGGGTTGGCTAAAAATAGAAAGGATACAAAGTAATAAAGATGAGAATTTCAACTTCTTAAAATGTCATAATCTACAACAACAACGAGATACAAGCACTACAAAAAAAGATATAAAACTCTACAAACAAACATTCTTTTTTTTATTTTATAAGTGATCTGATTTTTTTTACTTTTAATATATTATAAATTATTTTATTATATATTTCTGATTTAATAAATTTAGAGAATAAGCAAGTTCAAGTTTTACCAGTTATCTCAATATAAATATTGATAAAAAAATCTTACAAAAGAGATAGTTGAAACATACATTGCCTTGACAAGTTGCAATATCACCACTACTCACCTATTGATGTGGAAGGTGATTCTTTTTTTTTCTTAATCTAATAGTAAAAACATATGTTGCTAAAGACAATTACAATGTAAGTATGTGACGGGAGTGTCATGAACATAGTCGTGCAAAAGATAAGTTGCAACATCACCAATGGAAATTGCCAATACTCTTCATTTATAACATTTCAGTTTACCTTCTACTATTACGCGGGTAAAACAGAACCATATATATATCTTAGTTATTTGAACTTTTTAAATTTGTATTAACTAATGTTAATTCAAAATATATAGATAATTCTTATTTTATTAAATTTGTTTATCAGTGAGTAATTTCGTATATACATTACAAAATTTATTTTATTTGTTTTCACAGATGATTTGATGTTGATTTGCATTTTTTCGTTTTAAATTGTCTTTCACATATTGTAAAATATTAAATAACAAATCTTGTGTATATACTATAAAATACTGACACATATATATATATATATATATATTCAAATGATACAAATTATAAATTTGATCCGATCAAAAGATTCTATTTTATCTACCAATTTAGAAGATTTGTTTATTGATAGTTCTAAACATGTTATGAAAGAATGTTATTAGAATTCTAATAAATTAATATTTGAAGTAAATTTTATGATAAAAAAATCCATATTCAAAATGCTTAATATGATTGATGCAGAGAAGAAAATTACGTTACAGATTTGTAAGTTATGGCCTTATACGTGACTTTTATATATCAAAATAATAAAATACGTTATATGTATTTTAATTCTTTAGCTTTACAGTTTACGTTTGAAATCTGTAAACTCTAGCGGGTTGCGTACGAATATGCTCCAGTTTACAAGTTGGAAACATGATTCAGTTAGATACCATTCGGTAGTATCGGTACAGAGAATGCATTTTGGGGTTGGCATAAAAATGGAAAGGATACAAAGAAAGAAATATGAGATTTAAACTTCCTAAAATGTCATAATCTACAACAACATGTCAACAACAACAAGAACAAGATACAACAACATTACAAAGATACAAAACTCTGCAAACAAACTATACCATCGTCTCACTGGAGTTTAAAGTCGGAAAGAGATTGTAATTTTCGTACCAGTTATCTTAACCGATCTGTAGAAGAAAATATAAACCGGAGATAAACTTCATTCAACATCGTCGATCCAATCACCGTATATCCGACTTATTTTCGCCGGTCCTTTCCATTTCTGATGAGTTCTGATCCCAGGTTTCTGCGTAACCGCACTAGACGCTCGTTGCAACGCGACTCCACTGTGGTAACCGGCGTCTGCAAGATGAGGAACTCCCGGAGATAGAAGCGTCGGTGTTGTATCCGAATGTCCTTTCGTGTTTGCTCCTGTTTGCTTCATGTCCGAATTGGGCGATGCTCCGTCGTTGCCTTCTCCCTCAACGAGCCCACCTCCAAATCTATGCAACTCTGCAAGTCAGAAAGACTCGAGCTTTAAAGCTACACGACTTTTGGAATTCATACTGTGAAGCCTTTAGACGGCTTAACATGTCACTTATAACTCAGCCATATGTCTAAAAATCAACAACTCCTCTGTTTCATTACAATATCAGAACCAATCAATACGAACATATAATGCTATTCATCAGTCACGCAACGAGCTCAACTGATACAAGTCACACACAAATCAAACTCTCGTTACATTCCTATTGAAGCTTTAACGCTTCTACTACTCTTATATTCCAACCAAAGACCACCAAAAACCCCAAAGGGTGTCATAACATACAGAACTCAACAGTTACAGCAAATGGGTTTTAACCTATAGCTCTAAGCTTAGAGCTTCAGCTTCCAAGAAAATCTCTAATAACATTCTAACATAACCCATTCACTAATCAAAATCATAGCTAACCACAAGAGACCTATGGACTCAATCCATTCATCAAGCAAACACTGATTCTGGTAAAACAAAGAGAAAAGCAAACCAAAATCAAACAAAAGTCTGTATCTTTACCTGCAGCTCCATGAGCAAAATGACACTTAGCACCAAACGGACAATAACCAGTAATCTCCCATTTGTTGCAAATCCTTGTCTTCCAATTTGAAGGCTTCACAATATGAATTCCACTTCCACTTACATTTCCACTTCCATTTCCACCACCACCACCAAGCACTACCACGTTGCTATTACCACCACCACCACCAGCAGCAGAACCACCGCCGTTTCCTCCACCGTAACCACCACCAGGGCCTAAATTAATCGCAACGCTTTCTCTGTTCCTCGAAGCCTCATCGTGCAGAAACGTACAGCTTTCTCCGTAAGGACATCCTTCTTCGGTGTAAAACTTCTTGCAATGCCTTCCTTTAAAAGATCTCCCACTCTCAGCCGTCGATGACACCAGAGACGGGATCTGAAACTCCTCCCTTGGCTCAGCCGCAGCGGCAACCGTAGGAGTACCCGCACCGGATCTCTCCTCCTCGTGAGCCGCCACGATCTCTTGCCAATTCGGCGGTGGACGACGAAGCTCCTCCACGGTGTGAGCGAAGTTGCAATTCGTGATGTAAGGACAAGTCCCGGCGCGGAACTTGCAGCAGAGCTTCGTCTTGAAGAACATTTTCCCGATCGCTTTGGTTCGATTGCTCGCTGCTGCGGCGGAGGCGGAAGTGGTAGTAGCGGATGAGGACGAAGGAGAGCCTCGCGTTTTCTTGTTCGGAGGACCGTTGTCGCCGGAGGAATTGTCGGGATTCACCGCCCAGACGCGATTGTAGTCGTCTTCCGTTGCCCAGACGGCGCTATCTCCGAGATTCGGGAACCAATTCTCCGGCGGAGGATTGTTTGTGGGTATCACGTGAACTACATCACCGCCAGAATCTCGCCGGTGGCTCATCGTGTGAAATCGAAGAAGCTTTCCCTCTAACCCTAATTTTGTCCAATCAAAGTGTGAACTGATCAAGTTGTGAATTTCCACCAGAAAAATCACGGAAAAGCCGAGAAATTTCGTGAATCCCAGAGACGGGTGACCTCGAAAAACATCAAATTCATCGATTAACGATAAATTTTGAGAAACCCAAGAAAAGTATTAAAATTAACAGCGATGACTGGAAAATGAAAATGAACAGATAAAACTTAGATGATGATGAAGAAGAAGTATAAAACAGTACTAAAGCCACTAAAAAAATCGTCGTCGAGATTGAAAGATCAGGAGAAGAAATTTCGACAAATCATTGTTCATCAAAAAAGAAAATAATCAAACAGGAATATTCTGATTTCTAAGCCTGAAAGTGAGAATATAAAAGGAAAAACAGAAACGTGTGGACATTGGATAAGATCTTTATTAGGACAATAATTTAACAAAGGCTGAGCAGCAAATAAGTAACTATAGATAAGACATGTAAAAACCAAAAATTTAAAATTTGAAGTTATAGGAACTGTATTTTCTTTACGCTGTATTAAATGATTGTTCAGCATCCATGATGTGTAAAGTGTAATGAATGTTGGTCATTCAATGGATATGGTATGGCTCTGTGATGTGTTTTTTTTTAATCTCCATTTTCAAAAATCGCTGAGCTTCAAACTTTTAATACACACACACACCCAATATGATCCGATGATAAAATAAGTATAAATTACTCAAAAACTAATCTTTTTTCTTAATTGTTTTGTTAATTTTACTGATTTGATATGGGTGTTGGAGTATTCACGAAAAAATATTTCACCAGTGTTTTAGTCATTATAAATTGATTGCCATGTTACTTTACTTTTTAGAGGTTAATTCTTTTTAAGAAAATATCAAAAAAATAAACAGAAATCTACAATCAACTACTACTTACATAAATTGGTTATTTGAATTCATATCCTCTAAACTTTCAAATCTGTGTTAAAAATATATATACAAAAAGTTGTTCTTAATATATATCGAAGAAAAACGATTTGAAAAGTGTCTGCTTCCTGTAGCACGCTGGTCTGCGATGGCACATCATTAATGTGCAACGTATGATGAGTTCGAAGCTCGAGCAAAGGCATTTAGCGAGTCAGAGAGAGATTAAGAAAGTAGCAGCAGAGCAGTGTGAAAATGACATTTGAGGTATTTCTAAATATCTTTCTTTTTTTTGTCATGTGAGAAATAAAGGTTGACATTAGTCTAAATATATTATATTCTGACTAGACAATGCCTAGCTCTTGTAGCTCGTTTGGTCGGCGATGGCATTACTTTGTGCAACGTCTGTCGGGTTCGAAGCTCGAGCTAGGCACTAAAGAGAGAAGCAAGAGAAAGAGAAACAATATATGTCAGCGATATGAGATATTCTAAAATATCTCTTTTTTTTTAATTTGTTTTGTTCACAATAAAATGAATGACAACGAAGCTTTTACTGGCACAATAAAATGTATTGTTGGAGAAAAAACAAAGAAAAAGAAAACCCAAATATTTTTTTTATTTTTTGTGTGTAAATGTTAGACCCAAATAATTTGTGTTATGTAAATAAACTGTTGACCAAAAGGATTGACATTTGTCTAAATAAATTTCTTGCTGAAAAAGATCGCCTAGCTACTGTAGCTCGTCTGGTGAGCGAAGGCACAAATGTGCAACGCTTGTTAGGTTCGAGCCTCTTAGCTAGGCACGAGGAAGAGAGAGAGATGAAACTGATGAGATTGTAAGGTAAGCTTTCTTAATCATAAGAGATATTCTAAAATATCTTTTTTCTTTTTTTATAAAAAATTTAAGCTTTTGAACCAAATTTCCTGAATTTTTCTGGACGACTTTACTTGAAACGTTATTAACATAAGATTTCTTATTACACAAGATTAATACAAAGTAGTTCTTAAGTGCCACTGATACAGTAATTGTCCAGAAACTGATGAGATTGTAAGCAAAGCTTTCTTAACCATAAGAGATATTCTAAAATATTTTTTTTTCTTATGTATAAAAGCCGGATTCTTCACATAAAAACTTTTTTTTATAAAGAATTTAAGCTTTTGAACCAAATTTCCTGAATTTTTCTGGACGACTTTACTTGAAACGTTATTAACATAAGATTTTTTATTATCCAAGATTAATACAAAGTAGTTCTTAAGTGCCACTGATACAGTAATTGTCAACAAATTTTTTTTCATCCGTACATCTTTTCAGATCAAAACCAATACAAACTTTAAACATGTAAATCCATTCATTCTGATTCGATGGGACCACATTTTTCTTTATCTAAACTCTCAAATAAAATTTTTAAGTTTTTTTCATGTTTATTAGAGTATAGGTTCTACGTTTACATATTTTAAAACAAAGAAAAAAAATATACATATAACAGTATAAACGATTCTTTCTAGAATATGTTGGTAAGTGGTAACATAACAAGAATTTATAATTCAATGGTATGTATTAAAACACCCGTCGTGTCACATTTTGTGTTCAAATTTGGTAGTCTAGATGTGAATTATTGAACGACAAAGATATGATATCATATCCCTTAGTAAACTCACATGTTCTTTTACTTTTCCTGAAAACCAAGAAGAAAAAAGCAACTAAACGTGTCAAACATTTCCTCTGTTTTTATTAATCCTCCAAGAAACTTTGAATCTGACCGAGATTAGTAGTAACCACTCCTACCATATATAAACGTCTTCTCTTGGCAATTCATTTGCCACATAACCAATCTGAAGAAAACAAAAACATCTAAAACCCATCTCTCATCTTTTAAATATTTCCACTCTCACCCCAAAACTAATAGATATTATATTCATACCCTACTGTTGTTACCAATGTCCTCTAGATCGATTTACCGTACTCTTCGACCGATGCTATCATCCGGTTTAGGTACTGGACCGGGAGTAAGGGGACACATCATCAGCCACTTGCCCACTGTTCGCTTTTTGAGCTCCGACACGTCATCTCCGGCGAATGAGAATAAGCAGGCGGAGGAACCGGTCCGGACGGCCGACGGCAAAGTCATATCCACTTATTGGGGTATACCACCGGCTAAGATTACTAAACCGGATGGTTCAGCTTGGAAATGGAATTGTTTTCAGCCGTGGGATTCATACAAACCGGACGTGTCCATTGATGTAACCAAACATCACGAACCGATCAATTTCACTGACAAATTCGCATATTGGACCGTCCAAACTCTTAAAATACCGGTTCAATTATTTTTCCAGGTACTTTAATCAGAACTTTAAAGTGTTTTATCAATTGCTTATTGATCTTTATTTTGGACAAACCTTACAAATTAGTGCGATTTTATAACTACGTTGCAAGAAAAAAGTGGGTTGTGAATTGTGATGAGATTTTAGGATGTGAATGATTTTAAGAAGATTAAAGTGTGATTATTAAAACTTAGCTAACTAGTTAGACTTTAGATTGACATTTAACACCACATATATAACTTGTTCAATTATATTTCCTGATACAATAATCTAATTTTTTGAGTATACATAGAGGAAGCATATGTGCCATGCAATGTTGCTGGAAACGGTGGCGGCAGTGCCGGGAATGGTCGGAGGGATGCTTTTGCACTTGAAATCTCTCCGGCGATTCGAACATAGCGGTGGATGGATCAAAGCTTTGCTCGAAGAGGCCGAGAACGAGCGTATGCATCTCATGACCTTCATCGAACTCTCACAACCCAAATGGTACCTTTCCTCATCCAAAACAAATCCACTTTTTTCTTACACTTTGGTTAGTTCTCAAATCAACTTTGGTTTTGACCTGGACCAGTTGGTTATAAATGTTTTTGGAATTGTCTTAATTTATTTATCATTTTGAAAACCGGTTTCTTGAAGGTACGAACGAGCGATTGTGTTTACGGTTCAAGGCGTCTTCTTCAACGCATATTTCTTGTCTTATGTAATATCTCCCAAACTTGCTCATCGTATCACTGGATACTTAGAAGAAGAAGCTGTGAACTCTTACACCGAGTTTCTCAAAGACATTGATGTCGGAAAATTCGAAAATTCCCCAGCTCCGGCCATCGCAATCGATTACTGGAGGTTGCCTAAAGATGCGACGCTGAGGGACGTGGTTTTTGTTATCCGAGCTGATGAAGCTCATCACCGAGATATTAACCATTATGCTTCGGTAAGGAATTTTATTCTACTAGTATTTATTTGTAAAATGATCAACAATATTAGTAAGAATGTAATATCATTGAATTATGGGGTTAATATATGCAGGATATACAATTTCAAGGACATGAACTCAAGGAAGCTCCGGCTCCCATTGGATATCACTGAGGAATAATAAGGATCACGCGAGTAGTGGTGACAAAGCTTTTGTATATACAGTATATAAGAATGAACATGTGTGGTTGTACATGATACTTTATTCTTTTCTAAAACCCCCTTGTAATGTTCTTAGACAAGGTTTGTAAATCAATATTTAGATTAAATAATGTTTAAAAAAGAAGATTAAATTCTACTTAATTGTTTAACTTAGAAGTATCATCGAATAAATTAACTAAATGTATGTATATGAAAATGTTTATTTATCATTATAAATATAAATTCTTTAATTATATACATATCACTATAAATATAAATTCTTCGATGATACGACAAATCTAATATATTATTTGCGAAGTCAAGTCAGAAACACACCACAACGTTTCTCAGAGGGGTTATGTGCTTTCTACCCCTGGTGGAAATATTCGGATTTAAAACTGATTGGTTTGGTTTGGTTCATATTTGGAAATCAATTATAGAAATTTAAATCTTATACCCCGATTCTCATATGATGTATCAGTTGGGCTTTTTGAAATTGATGTCCAATGGACCATTTAAAAATTCTGCTGCCTCTCAAAACTATATTACAAAACGAAAACCCTAAAATTTTAATAGCTATATATACTCACATATGTCTCATTCATCTGAACACCTGCTTAGGTTAATTTATTAATTATTGACGTGTAGGTCATAATTTAGGGTTTTGTTTTTATTTCATGAAGTATGTTTTGTTTCTTACGGTTCTAATTTTCTCTTCTTGGTTTTTTATTATGTCGCAGGTCACTTGCAAGAGAGGAGAGTTGATTAGGTTTCATCGTTTCGTTTTGGTTATATAGCTTCCAGGCTTATGGCTGCTGATAGTCGTGAGTTTAGTTTGCAGAAAAGGTATTGCTGCTTAAACTTTTTTTTCACTTAAATTCATCGTATGTTAATTACAACTGATGCTTTGTTATAAATTTGATTTTGATTTATTTAATATGTTGTTTTACCTATTGATGCTATTTATTGTTTTGTCTTTCTTTCGTTTTGGTTATATTAGCGTTATATTGTTTCATTGTATTAATTATCGAAATTAGACTTGAAGGTGACAAACCCTCAATTTTGGTATAATATATACTGTGTTTATTCATATGAGTGTCATTGTTCTAAGCTACTTATATCTATTTTTGTCTCTATAGTTATATCTTAGTTTATATTTAGGGTTGGTCTACGACGTTGGTTTCTTTGTGGATTTAGTCGTTATATGAAATTGTTTGTTATTTATAAAAGTATCTTAATTTTTTAGTCTTATACAGTAAGGATACTCAGATGACTATCTTGCCTTTCCATCTACCGAAAAACCAGGACATCATTTTCTTGGAAATTTTTTCACCACCTGGTCCTGGAGATTATTTTCAAAAGTCCCAGTTTCAGAGTTGGATAGACTACAACAAACACCATCCAGAGTCGAGGCATCTTCTATATACTGAATTTCCAATTTGGTTTGTTTGGCATAGGAACATCAGGGAATGGCTACCGCAACGTCGTTGTAGGTCTAGGAGAAATGCGGTAGGACTTCCTTATGTGAAGCCAGAATGTGGTGAGCTCTATTATCTCAGAACATTGTTAGCTGTTGTCAGAGGACCGACGTGCTTCGAAGATATCAGAACGATTAATGGTGCTTTATACTCATCATTTGCTGAAGCCATTGAAGTCTGTTTTGGTTTGGGATTAGTCGAGAGACATTTTCTTACAGATTAACGCATATTATGATGGTGTTGGGTTTTGGATTTACGTGTCTTTTTACTATGTAGTCTGTGACTGGTGTTTTTTTATTTTGGTATCTAATAAATAAGATTTTAATTTACTGTCTTATTATGTATGCCATTGTCAAGCATCAATTTACCACGTAACTGAAACAGTATGGTTATGTGTTGCTTTTGATTTAAATGATTGTGTTTGGTTGAAAAAGATGAGATCCATCATATTGGTTTGTTATAATTTTTGTTGTATTAATTGGTATGTTTAGTTGCATAAGTTTTATGAGACTGTAAAAATATTATCGTGGGAACGTATAGATATTAACATGAACACTGGCGTATGGAATTTTGGCTTCAACAAATACTCTATGATATTTAAAACTTTTCTTAGGTGGAATGATATTTGCAAGACGACTTCAAGAATATTTGCGTCATGCATAATTTTGAGAATATCCTGTGATATGTGTTATATATATATTAAGACCTGTTCCAATCTTTATCCTTATCTAAATTGTTACTTTTGAATACTTATCCTTATCAGAGCTTCTCTAAAATATTATGTATTTATTTTAGGGGTAGAAATATTATCGTGAGAACGTATAAATGTTAACATGAAATCTGGTGTATGGAGTTTTGAATTTGATAAATACTCTATAATATTTGATACTTTTATTGGGTGGAGTGATATTTACAATACGACTTCAATAATATTTTGTATCATGCATAATTTCGAGAATATCGTGTAACATGTATTATATATATATTAAGATTTGTTTCAATCTTTATCTTTATCAAAATTGTTAGTTTTTAGAAAATTTATCCTTATCGGAATTTCTCTAAAAATGTTGTATATTTATATTAGGTATATCAGTCTTATATTTATAATATCTTAGGAAATATACTATGAGTTATAGTGTCGGTTATAATTAATTACTAAACTTTTTGGTGAATTTTTATTTCAAACAAAATGTTATGATAATAGCGTAGTTGTGTATAGTATTGGAAAATTTCATGTATCATGACTTATATATATTTTAGATATTTATTCCAATCTTTATCCTTACCGAAATTATTACTTTGTGCATGTTTGCCATTAACAACATTTTTTTACAAAATATTATATATCTATATTTGAGATATATATCATATATTTATTATGTTTTTGGAAATATACTATAAGTCATACTACCTGTCATTATTAACTACTTAACTTATTGGTGATTACTGGCTTGGAAAAAGTTTGTGATAATAACGTAATTGTTTATAGTCGTTGACCTTTTTTTATATACATATAGGATAAATATATATCTTCCAACTCTGACTATAAGATACAAAGAAACGCGATCAAAATTTTTTTACTTTAATTGAGAGAGATTACAGAAAGCCTTAAATTATCACGTTGGTATTTTCAAAGAGGCTTGACATTATTAGGCTTTGATAATGTCTATTTTCAAGAGAAAGACTGGTTATTTGGTTAACATAAAAGATTTGACTCCAGAGAGTGATCGCTCTAAGATAAAAGTTTGTGTACTCAAGCTTTGGGTTAAAACTAGGAAGATGATGGATGTCGTGTTTGTTGATGCACATGTAAGTTTTTTACGGTTTTTTTCTGATCAAATTATTGTAGTTTTAATGTGTTGCATCTTCTTAAATATATGTTAAATTAACACTTTTAAATAATTATTAAGGGTGAGCGCGTACATGCTACTCTTGATAAGGATTATGTCAAGAAATTTCACGATAAGCTGATTTGTGGTGGTGTATACATCGTAGATACATTCAAGGCCGCTGAGTACAAAAGTGATTATCGGACAAGTCGTCATCCTTATAAAATTTATTTTTATGAGACCACCGAGTTGAGTGATTATCATGACTTTCCGAAAAGCATCCCCGAGAAATATTTTAGGGCATTCGGTGAGATTTTGTCTACCGATTTGGATAAGTCGTACTTGATTGGTAAGTGTTTGAAATCATCTATTTATTTTGTTTACGTATCCTTATGATTACTAAGTACGAATTTGTATTTGTAAATGTCATAGGTCAAGTCGTTAGTTTGGGAACCGTTGATCAGGTTATGGCCCGGGGAAAAATCAGCAACAGGCTTAAACTTACTCTTCGTGATACAAGGTATGATAATTTGATTTGTTTGGAGTTTTGTTATTTTTCAATTCTTATTTATACGTGATTGTTTTCATGATGTGGCTGTAGTGATCTTCGTTTGATGTGCACTTTATGGGACGATTACGCTACAGCAATGGCTGATTATGTAGCTGCACATGCTGACACTGTTGTTGTGTGTGTCATTAGACTTGCCTGCATTGGAGAATACAAAGGTTTGTCTAACATAATCTTTGCTGAGTAGCTGAATATGTAATATCCTATTGGAATGAGTTTATTAAAATATATTTTAACTGTAGGTGAAATTAGTATCGCCAACTCTTATAGCTCAACGAATATTTTGTTTAATCCGAACACAACTCTTGCGAAGAGTTTTATTAATGGGTATGTTTCTTTTGGCTACGGTGTTGTTTTTAGTATATTCTTTGTATTCTGGTGTTTTGTTGGGTTGTGTGTATCTAAGAGTTTATGTATTATTTTAGGTTGTCTGCTGATAAATTAGCCTTGAGCCTTCTAATGATTTTGAGTCCACGGAGATCCTTCTGCCCGTGTATGATGATTTCTTCGTGAAGATTGCTTGGAAGTATTTAAGAGCCGTACACGGATCAACTGAGGTAGTGTTTAGCATATTATTATCTATGTATTCATTTGTTACTGTTTGGTTTATTTAGTGATATTATTTCATGTGTTGGTATAGGTTGGGAAGTGTATTGTTATGGTTCGGATTATCTCTATTAGTAACAATGGCAAATGGTATTATATTGCTTGTAAGAGGTGCAATAAGAAGGTTTTTCCTTACCCCGATAAGGTGGATAGTCAAAGAGTGCCATTATTGAAGTGTAATGAGTGTAATATGGACGTTTCATCAGTTGTTTCAAGGTACTTTGGATGAATATTCGTCTTCTTATTTTGTATCAATTGTAATTATCTAAAGTACACTAATCGTTGTCGTTTTAACTTATATATTTAGTTACTTTTTGGTTCTTGATGTGACCGATTCAGAGGGGACTCCTTCGAAGGTTTCTTTCTTTGATAAAATAGCGGTTAGGTTTTTTGATAAGACGACAGATGAGCTATATGAGGATGTTGATGATATATGTATTTATTTGGAGATGCTTTGTTTATGATTTATATATATATATATATATATATTTGTGTTTTATGATCCTCAAACTTTTCTGTTTTGTTAGGGAGATGATTCGGAGATGCCGTTTGCTATTAGGAATTTGATTGGAAAGGACATGCTTTTCAAGATATCTGTAACTGAAAAATATATTGCTATGTAGTCCTCTTCTTATGTGGTTGAGAGATTCTCAAATGATGATGACTTAATTTATAAGTTTGATGAGACATTTCATGCACGGATGAGTTTTAGTATCATGTGTCAAAGTATTACATTTATATATTA